CCAGGGCCCAGACCAAGGGTCCCAGCGCCCCCTGCTCTGGGGTCTCCATTATCCTAGGGAAACACCAGAGCGAGGCCATGGGAGAGAGTCCAGCCAGGGATGGTGACGGTGACGGTCTGTAATCTCAGCAGCTTGGGAGGCTGAGGCAGGAGGACTGCAGGTTCAGGACCAGCCTGGTAATTTGGCAAGATGCTGTCTCAAAATAAAAAGGATTGGGGCTGGGGCTCGGAGGCTGAGTACCCCAGTTTCAGTCCCCAGTACAAAAAATATAAATAAATAGATAGAAAGACAGTGGGTGGCCTTGCTCTGCTGAGCGTTTTCTAAAGACCACGGCGGGCATTTAGACGCCTCTGAGGCAAGGGCTGTGTCCATGGCCAAGGTCCCAGGGAAGCAGAATTCTCTTTGGGGAGTCCTGCAGCCCTGCCTCAGGGGAGGCCTGCCAACCCTGCTCACACCGGAGCCGGTCAGCACAGCAGCCCAGCTGGGCTGACGCATCTGGGCCTGCGCCCCTGTCACGGGGCAGGACCCAGGGCCCACTGCAGCCCATACTGGGTCCAGGGAAGGTGCCTGCAGCTGACCAGAGAGGGATCGCTTCCTCCACATCCCCCCGTCTCAACAGCAGCACAGAAAGCAGGGCAGGAAGGTCCTGGAGGCCTCTTCTGTCCCCCTCCATGCACAGAAGGGGACCGGGGCTCCGCGTGGCACTCCCAGGGGGCTGGTGAACGGCCCCGCCCGCCTCCCCTCCTTCCCCCTGAGTCCACTCCCCTCCCGCACCCTCCAGCCGCCCCCGTCTCTGTGAACTGCCCACCCCTTCCCACCCTTTGTACCCCAGAGTGACCTCAGCACCTTTCAACCAAGGTGTCTCCATCTTGATCCACCACCCTCAGGACTGGCTCCCACTGTCACCTAGTGCACGGTCCAGCCACGCACAGGGACAAGCAGGCCAGAGGCCCCCTTGAGGAACAGCGTTTGGCTCCCCACACGGCCTAGGAGCCAGGCCCAGATGTGGCGCCCACTC